AAAAAATCTTTTGACAGTAAGTGCATAAATTTTTTTTGTTCTCTGTTCCATTGATTAATAACATCTATTTTAATGACAATAGTGTACTGTCACAATTACTATAGGCTTGTAATATATATTGAAATCAGGAAGTATGACACCTGTAAGTTTTTCTTTTCTTGCTCCATATTTCTTTGACTTTGAGGGTCGTTTGTGGTTCCATACGAATTTTATGATTTCCCCCCTATTTTTGTAACAAAATGTTGTTGGGATTTTGATAGGGATTTTAATGAATCTATAGATTAGGTAGTATGGATATCCTAACGAGAAATTCTCCTGATCCATGAATATGGGATGTCTTTTACTTATCTGTGTTGTCTTTAATTTCTATTATAATAGATGTTGAATTTTGTCAAATGCTTTTTATGTACCTATTGAGATAATTGTGGTGTTTTAATGTTTTATTATTTTAAAGCAGCATATCATGTTGTTGAGTTGTATATGTTGAATCACCCTTGCATTGTAAGGATATATCCCAGTTCATGCATTATAATTATTTTAATGTGTTGTCAAATTTAGTTTATAGTGTTTCTTGATTGAAGTTGTCTGCATACATATCATTAAGGATTGTGTTGTTGTTTAGTGTGTTTTTATTTCAAGTAGAAGGCAGGTATGGGAGTAGCAAACCTCTTTAGTGATTGAGTTTGGATGTCTTTACCTATTCTTCATTGTTAAAGGACAGTTTTTCAAGAAAACTATTCTTGGCAGGATTTGTTTCAGTACTTTGAATATATCATCCTGCTCTTTCTTGGCCTGCAATATTTCTGCTGAGAAATGTACTGTAATTTATGAAAGGTCCCTTATATATGATAAGTAAGTTTTATCTTGCTGTCAAAGTTTTGTTTGTTTTTTGATCATTTAATTTTGTGATGTTGACTTTTGTAATATAATTAAAATAAATATTTATAACAGGACAAAGACTATCAGTAATAAAACCTCTGGATTTTATTAATTGAGATGTGCATTTCCCACCCTATATTCGGAAAGTTTGTAAAGTTCTCATCCATTATTTTTTATTCTTGTCCTTTTCCTTTTTTTTTTTTTTGAGAATTTAAGTATATTTTATTGTCAGAGGATGTTATTTGTTGAATTTCCCTATTGTCATTAGTGAAAGAAAAGTGGCGCAGAGCTAATGACACACACCCCTAGGATAGGAAACGGTTTCATTGTCAGGAGCTTGAGAAGGCTGCTGTGCACTGAGAGAGGGACAGCAGCAGCAAGGAGAGAGAGCAGCAGCAACTCCCCTTTAATGTTATCTTTTTGAGGCTGGAATCATGGCCGTGAGCTAGGTGTGGGATTAGTCCTGACAGACTTGGGATTAGTCCTGACAGACAAAGTAAGCATCTCCTGATATTGTGGAAGGCAAGTTTGTTTCTTGGGAACACAGACAGGCAGTTTTCCTATCTCTCAGAGGAGCACAGGGAAACTGGCATCTCCCTTTATCTTCTCAAGGAGAGAACAGGGAGAGGCCAGCACGTCTGCAGGACAGTAGGTTTTCTTTCAGGCTAGTTTCTATTTCTTGGGAATAAGAACAATATTCATAAAGTGAGAATAGGGGAAAGGAAATGGCTGCAATTATGGTAACAATTATGCAGCTCCCACAGAATGTTTACAAAACAGTTGTCTCTTGGAGAGGCAGAAGCCAACCAAAAAAGAAAACAATTACATTTCAAATCTGCATTCTCTTTTTAAGTATGAATCATCATATACTCTGGGTTATAAAGTAATTCGTGGAATGGTTTTCTTCATCACATGTCACATAATTTCACCCACAACATGGAAAAGGTCCATACTGATCCATGGGATCAGAACTGAAATGTACACAAACTGATCTAAATATGTATCAAGTAGTAAGGGCGCCCACCAAGCTCTTGGGAAGGACAAAAATCACGTTCTACCAACTGTGGGCTCTGCGTAGCCATCCAGGCTGGTGCTCACTAGACAAAGAGCAGCTCCCCAACCACAGAAAAGGAAACCCGAAGCCCCCATGTGGAGGCGGGGATGAGGGTTTTCCAGGCGCCAGAACTCTAAAGGCCGGAGCTCACGAAGGATGGTGGGGACTGAAGAATGGCCCACCATCGTCCTCCCCTCAAACCCTTTTACCCCACCTCCTGGCCTCTGCACCCACCTGTCCGCAGGTCTCTCTATTCTCCTTCCCACTGCAGCCAGGTTGGTACTGCCAGGTGTAACATGGTAGCGCAGGAACGATAATCCCAGGGCTGGGGATGAGGGAAAACCTGGCCCAGTGGAGATGCAGCACCTTGTCATGTTGGTGCTGTGGTATGATCTGTGCCTAGAGAAGTTGGGTGTGCTACCATCTTGTTTCTGGGACTCTGGGAGACTGTCATAGCACAGGTCGGTAGCATCCCCCTTTTTTTCTTCATGCTGGTTCTCTCTTTGGAACTCTATTCCATTATTTCTTTAAATAACCTTCTTTTGTCCTTTTTCTCAACTTTTAAGACTCCTATAATCTGTCAATTATTTTGCTTGATAATATCTCATAAGTCCCATATGCTTTCTTCACTGTTTCTTTTTTATTTCTTTTTTGTTCCTCTAAATAAACAATTTTAAGTCATCTGTATTCAAGTGTATTTATTCCATCTTCTGCAACATTACATGTGTTCTCAAAAGCCACTTTTAAATTTTTCTGTATAGTTAATATTTCAGTTTGGTTCTTTTTGATAGTTTTTATTTCTTTATTAAACTTCTCATTTCGTTCATATATTCCTAATTTTCTTAATTATCTGTGTTCTCTAGTCTCTTATATCGTCAAATTAATTCTTCTTTTTTTTTTTTTGCTGGTACTTGGGATTGATCCCAGAACTGTGATCATGCAAGAAAGACAAACAAGCACTTTCTCACTGAGCATTACATCCCCCAGCCTCTCACTGAACTTCTTTGAACAATTATCTTGAATTCTTTGTTAAAAAATTCAGAGGGGCTGGAGTTGTGACTCAGTGGTAGAGCTCTTGTCTAGCACTCATGAGGCACTGGTTTCAATCCTCAGCACCACGTAAAAAAACAAAAATGAGATAAAGATATTGTGTCCACCTACAACTAAAAAAATGAATATTAAAAAAATAATTCATGGATTTTCATTTTGTTAGCACTGATTACTGAAGTTTTATTAGTTTCCTTTGATGGTACTATATTTGCCACATTCTTTATGATCTATATAGCCTTGTAGTGATACATGTGCATTTGGATGGTTTCTTCTGAACCTACAGTAGGACCCTCAGACAGTAGGCCTGTTACTAGGACTATACCTCCTGCTGAGTCCCTAAATAAATAGAACTGCCTGTGGACCATGGTGGAGCAGATCTGGAACTGGATCACAGTACTGCTTCAGGGTCCCCTGATCAGCAGGTCTGTTTTTAGGGAAACAAATGAATGTGACTCCCACTAGGTCTATGTATAGACAGAATTTCCTCCAGACTGTAGTAACACCAATACTGGAGCTGGGTCACAACACTGATTCTGGGTCCATTTTCAGGTCCACTTCACAGGCCTTTTTCTGGGGGCATGGACTAACATAGCTTCCACCAGTTTCCTGGGCAAGCAGAAGTACCTTCACACTATAGTAGTACATGGCTAGAGCTGAGTCACAGGTCTGTTTGAAAGTCCACAATAGGTGGGCCTCTGTACTAGTCCATTTTCTGTTATTATCACAAAATGTCAGAAGCTACAAACTTTATAAATAAAATACTTTATTTAGCTCATAGTTCTGGAGGTTCAGTGGCCTGGCTTATCTCTGATGACCAAAATCACAAAATCACCAGTAGTAGGACTGGTATATGAGAGGTAAAGATGTGACAATATGAGAAACCAGTGAATAATTCAGGGGCCAGGCTTGTTTAGCCATAACAACTCAGCCTTGAGAGAATAACAGGGATCTCATGAAAACTACCTTAATCCCTTCCAAAAGCAATGTCCCCAGTGACTTCCCACTAGGCTCCCACTCTAAAAGGCTCTGCCACTTCTTAGTATCACCACACTAGGGACCAAGCTTCCAACACATGAACCCTTGGGACAAACCACTTCCAAACCCTAGACACATTTACTGGGAATGCCAGTGGAAGATGACCCTACCAGGTCCCTGAGTGAATGGAACTAGTGTCAAGACCACACTCAAGTGGGGCTGAAGCTCAATCCACAGGGGTTAGCCTGCTTCTGAGTTTGTAGCCAAGACTGTAGTTGGCAAGCTTGCTACCAAGATAAAGGTCTGCCTTATAAAAGGAGCCATATTTGGTTTGGGGCTAAATGTGGCTCTTTAACCTTTACCTGATTCCCAAGACTCCCACAAAGGTACTTTTGTCCACAGATAACTGCCAAATCATTGTTCCTTTGTGGGGAATGACAATTAAGGACCTCCTGTTCTACCAACTTACTGATGTAACTCTCCTGATAATGCATGTCTTTTTGCTCCCAGTTGATACCATGTTGGAGTACAAAACCATAAATGGCTTTCTCAACTTCTTTTATGAGTCTTTTACAGAGACCCAAGGTAGAAAATGGCTTCATTGTCCCCAGAGAAGACCTAATCTTGTTCCACTCTTCTTCCTGATGCTTTTCTCCTTCATGTATATTATCCTAACATCTGTCTAGTCAGCCTTGTATTTTTTTTGGGGGGGGGTACTGGGGATTGAACTCAGGAGCACTGGACCCCTGAGCCACATCCCCAGCCCTATTTTGTATTTTATGTAGAGACAGGATCTCACTGAGTTGCTTAGTGCCTCACTGTTGCTGAGGCTGGCTTTGAACTCGTGATCCTTCTGCTTCAGTCTCCTGAGCAACTGAGATCACAGGCATGCGCCACTGTGCCCTGCTACCAGCCTTGTTTTAATATATTTGATAGTATTGACAGGTGTACAAGGCAAAACTAGAAGAAAGATGTCAATGGGAGGAACTGCTTTTCACTTTGTATTCACTTTCCATGTATTTGTGATAATCTCTCCCAATAGGTTTTCTTTGGTAATGTGGATTCATCTGGGATAAAACACAATATTTTTAATCCTCCAATTATTGCTCAGTACATCCGTTTGCACCCAACTCATTATAGCATCCGCAGCACTCTTCGTATGGAGTTGATAGGCTGTGATTTAAACAGTAAGTGCCAAGTCATCTCGTATCCTTTCCTTTCCCAGTCCTGAGACTAAAAGGAGGGGTTCTCTGTCAGGAAACAGAACTATCAGTAATAAAACCAGCATTGTCCTAAGAAAACCCAGGAATTTGTTACCCTAACCATGGGATTTCCCCCCACGGTAACCACCTCCTGTAATTCTGTTAATAAGGAAACTCAATGCCAAACAGCTAAAGAGAACTGTCCAGAAAATAGGAACATGCTAACAATAAGGGAATTTGTGCAAAACCTAATGCCTGGGAAATGATTATGATGATAGTGGCCCTAGATATTAGAGGTAGTCCAATGGAACCTAGGCTACAGCCTGTCTTTGTGATAACATTCTCCTTTGACTTCTTTGAGGTTGCAGCATACCATTGGGAATGGAGAATAAACTAATATCAGATGCACAGATTACTGCCTCATCCTACTTTACCAATATGTTTGCCACTTGGTCTCCTTCACAAGCCCGGCTTCACCTTCAGGGAAGGACTAATGCTTGGAGACCTCAGGTAAAAGGAAACATATCTACCTTTTAACTGATATGTTTCCTACCTTTTAACTGATATAGAGCAAGGGGTAGGAGTTGGGAAAACTGGTGGAAATGCTTGATTGTTCAAATATTGTTCCTAAAAAGTGTCTAGGAAGGTTGACTATTGGCAGATACCCCTACAGGCATGTAATGAATGTGGTACATGATTTCACATAGATGCACTGGGGAGAAATGATCCTTAATTGGACCTCCTGGAAGAAGAATCTGTATCCAGTACTAGGCTAATATCTTTAAAAAAAAGTCGAGCTGGGGTTGTGGCTCAGTGGTAGAGTGCTTGCCTAGTATGTGTGAAGCACTAGGTTTGATTCTCAGAACCACATTAAACAACAGATAAATAATAAAATGAAGACATTGTGTCCATCTATAAGTAAAAATATTAAAAATACAAGTAGCTAAAGTCTAGTTTTACAGATAAATATCAACAATTAGCTTTCTTTCCAGGTTTCTGAATATATCAAAGGAAAAGTTTATAGTCATATGTACTTCATTGGGAACATATATTTTCCCAAGCCACCTAGTTAAGTCACTGAGTTGAGTGTGTGTGCATGTACTGGGGATTGAACCCAGGGCCTTGTGCATGTGAGGCAAGCACTTTATCAACTGAGCTATATCCCCAGCCCTACTGAGTTGCTTTTTTAGGGGAGGGAAAAGAATTGTCTCTGCTCCTCCAGGGATTTATTTCAAACAAAATAGTTTGCATACTACACTGCCAAACTTTTATACTCTAGTCAGTCTACATGTAGATTTTTTAAATATTTATTTTTTAGTTGTAGTTGGACACAATACCTTTATTTTATTATTTATATGTGGTGCTGAGAATTGAACCCAGGGCCTCGCACGTGCTAGGTGAGCACTTTACCACTGAGCCACAACACCAGCCCCTATATATGGCTTTTATATTCATTCAGAATTTACTGAGCACTTATTAAGTAGATGACCCTGACGACACAGGGATTAGTATGAAAAATTTTGGCTCTTAAGTTTCTTAGTCAAATAAGGGAGACTGATAAACTATAAGATGTAGAGTGGTAAAGGCTAAAAAAGAAATTTGTGGATTTCTGGAAGCAAATGATAACCAATAGAATACTAGTCCAGTATCACCTTCTTTAGGTAAATAATCCAAAAGAGTGGCTGCAAGTGGACTTCCAGAAGACAATGAAAATCACAGGAATAATCACACAAGGAGTGAAATCTCTTCTTACCAGCATGTTTGTGAAGGAGTTCCTTATTTCCAGCAGTCAAGATGGCCATCACTGGACTCTCTTTTTACAGAATGGCAAAGTAAAGGTATGGTGTTCTCACAAGAAAGACAGAAAACCTCTCTTAGAGCTTGACATTTAGATATATGACTAGGTTTATATGTGGCTAAAATTTCAGGGTGAAATTACTCAGTACCTATAATAACAGGATGCTATAAGGGATATTGTAGGAGAATACAGTGACTTCTAGAAAGAAAAATTTCAACTAAAGGAAGTGTAGAGCCAAGAATTGATTTTTCTCATGGGGGTTGACATCAACCAGGATGGTGACAAGAATCAGAGGACTAGACAATGAGAGCTATTTAGGAAATGCTTAATTATGCCTGTATACTCATCAGCAACCTACATTCCTAAGCCTTATTGACATTTAAGTTTAGTTATCCAGATGGTCTTCAATTTTTATATGGATTTGCTTAATAAGTCAACACACACTTGTAAGCATGAGAAAGTCTTACTATCCAGTGAGTAATGGAAAAAAGAACAGTTCATATCCGTGGTATTTTAAATATTCCTTTTTACTAAGAATTAACCATGATGTTATGTGTTATTCATCTTTCTGTTACTATAACAAATGTCTGAGTAATAAACTTTTAAAAATAAAAGGTTTAGAATATGTGACAACAGCTGAAAAGTCAGGATGGGGGTAAGTAGAATAAGGGATTCTAAAAATTCTCATGTAGAAGATATAAGTGTTGATTAACATTAAACCTTGATAATTTGATGCAAATTACAATTATCAGGGTAACCAGGAAGAAATAGAATATAAATAAAGTGTAGGATTCCCAAAAATGGGACTATAAAGGGATAAAATATACTTAATAAATCTAATGAAGTAAGCAAATAAAGAAACAAAATAGGCAGGAAAAATAGCAAGATAGGATAGCTGGTTTAAATCCAAAAGTAGCAGTAATTATTTATTACATGAATGAAATAGATATTCCATTTAAGACATGACAATTGTCAGATTAATCAGAAGGAAAAAGCAATACTATTCCTTTTACAAGAGTCATATCTAAAACATTAGATATAGAAAAGTCATGAAAATGAAGGTTAAACTAACTCACATTTCTTTTGAGTCCGACAATACATGTGACAAGCTGAAGAGTGTTGGGAATTTGAAAAAAAAAAAGTGTCTAGGAAGGTTGACTATGGGCAAACACCCCTACAGGCATGTAATGGATGTGGTACATGATTTCACATAGTTGCACTGGGGAGACTAAGGGACTAAGCCTGGGAAAGCTGTGTTTGTGGGCAGCACAGGATATGCAAAATTGGCTCTGCTGCTCTACAATCTTTGGGAGGCTTCTGAGTTTCGGATTCCCAGCAGACATTGGCAGCTGCCAGGCCTTACGGGGGTGTGTGGATCTAATCCCTTCAGAGAAGATTCCACCCAGCAAAGTCCCTAAGGCCTGATTACACCTAAGCCCTAAGCCCTAGCCCCAGGAACTCCCCTTATAGAACTGTGCAGCAACTCCACTCTGGAAGTGCACCAATCTGGTCTGTGGAGACAAGGCTCCAAATGACAGTACTTCCTACTCCATCGCACCTTATACTGGGGAGAAGGGAAGCTGAGAGCTATTTCAGGCAGCCTCAGTCTTAGGCCACTCCAGCACCTTCCTATCACATTTTCTTTTTTCTTAATGAACTATATTGTTACCATCTTTCAGAACTAATTGTTTTTTTTTTTAATAACTCCTACCCTCACCAGTTTGTTGCAATTATTAGTGCTGTGAATGGAATAGTTGACACCTCTATTTGCGTTAATGCCAGATCTAGTTCATGGTTATTTGCTGTTTTTGCTGGTAGCAATTGTTAACTCTACCATTCCTGTTTTCATGGTAATTAGTATTGTATATGTTACAGTAGGTACCTAGTACTTATTTTAATGCTGTATATTGTTTGCATTGAGTGTTGCTATTATTTGTTTCCACCTTTTCTGTGAGGTGCTAGTTAATGACAGGGGCACTACAAGTTCACAAGGTAGAGACTCACCTACTGAACTAAACTCAGCCAAAAGACTGTGCACCTTGGTCCATATGCAAATTAATGACATTCATAGTTCAGCTATATTTTAATACAAAGAAGAGACAAAAGCCCAAACTCCTGACTAGGCTCCAAGTAGGAATGGCTAGGGATGGGCGGTCAGTTTCTACTTGTGTATGTGTATTACTACAGAAAAAAACAGAATTAATACTGACTGAGGATACCACACCTACCATGGGGGGGGGCGGGATCTCAATCTATATCACTCAAGGACACATTGGCAAGAGAAAGCTGTGCCCTAAAAAGGCCTATATGTAAGATTGAAAGAGAAATCTTTCCAACTGATGCATAAACCCAACACAGAAATACAAAAAGTTTGGAAAAACAAGGTAACCTGATACTTCCTAAAGTTCATCATTCATCAGCAACTGACCCCAAAGATATTGAAGTGAATGAATTATCAGATGAAGAATTCAAAATAATGATTATAAAAATGATCAGTGAATTCCAAGAGAACACAGAAAAACAACTGCATGAATTAAGGAAGTCAGTACAGGATATCAGTGAAAAATTCAATAAGGAGATAAACACATTGAAAAACAACCAAACAAAAATCATGGAAATGAAGACACAATAAATAAAACAAAATGTTCTGTTGAAAGTCTCTTTTATAGAGAAGGCTTTGCTGAAGACAAAATGTCAGAGCTAAAAGAAGAAGTGGCCAACCGTGAACATTCAGACGGTATTAAAGAAAAATTTTCTAATAGTATATTGAATAATTTCTCTGTGTTTTCATCAAGCTCATTGAGTTCCCTTAAAACAGCTGTTTTCAATTCTCTGAGAGTTCTTTCATAGTGGTTACTAGTCAGCTGACTCCATTGTTCTGGGCCTAAGGTAAGGCAGAACATCATGGCAGAAGGACATGGCAGAGGAGTGCTACTCTGCTCATGTTGACCAGGGAGCAGAGAGAGAAAGGGTATTCTAGGGAATGTCCCCAGTGACTCACCTTCTCCAGCTGTACCCTGCCTGCCTATAGTTACCACCCAGTTAGTCCATTCAAACTAGGGTGGACTAATTAGAGTATACCTTTCATAATCCAGTCATTTCACCTGTGAATATCCTCGTATCAATGGAGGAGCTTTTGGGAGATATCTCATATCCAAAACATAAAAGAAGGTATTAATAGCACAGTGGATCAGTCAAAAGAGATAATTAGTAAGCTCTAAAACAGACTATTTGAAAATATAGAGTTGGGGGAGAAAAAAGAATGAAGGGAATTGAAGAAAGATTACAGAAACTTTGGGAAAGTCTTAAAAGAGCAATACTCAGGTAATTGAAGTTCAAGAGGGGCCTGAGAACATTAAAGGGGTAGAAAACATATGCAAAGAAATAATAACATAGCAGACCAATGATACAGAATAAAGACATGGAGACAAACCTACATAAATACAGTTATCTCACACTAGACAAAGGCACCATAAATATATATTGGAGGAAGGTAGCCTCTTCAACAAATGGCACTAGAAAACTAAAAATCCATATATAGTAAAATAGACCCCTATCTCTCACCCTGTGCAAAACTCAACTCAAAGTGGCTCAAAGACTTAGGCATTAGATCAGAGAGACCTTGTGCGTAGTAGAAGAAAAAGTAGGCTCCAAACTTCATCATGTCAAATTAGGACATGACTTCCTTAACAAGATTCCTAAAGTGCAAGAAGTAAAATCAAGAATCAATAAATGGGATGGAAAAGACTTAAAAACAGCATATTACAGGACTCAGCTACATCAACGTTTATAGCAGCACAATGCAGAATAGCTAAACTGTGGAACCAACCTAGATGTCCTTCAATAGATGAATGGATAAAGAAACTGTAGTATATATACACAATGGAATATTACTCAGCATTAAAGAGAATAAAATCATGGCATTTTCAGGTAAATGGATGGAGTTGGATAAGATAATGCTAAGTGAAGTTAGCCCATCCCCAAAAAACAAATGCTGAATGTTTTCTCTAATATGAGGAGGCTGACTCATAATGGGGTTGGGGGGGGTAGTATGGGAGGATTAGACGACTCTAGATAGGGCAAACAGGAGGGAGGGGAAGGGAGACAACATGGGAGTAGAAAAGATGGTGGAATAAGATGGACATCATTACTCTAAGTTACATGTATGAAGACACGAATGGTATGAATATACTTTGGGTACAACCAGAGACATGAAAAATTGTGCTCTATATGTGTAATATGAACTATAATGTATTCTGCTGTCATATATAACCAGTTAGAATAAAAATACGTAAATAAATGGGATGGATTCAAACTAAAAAGATTCTCAGCAGAGAAAACAGTAAAATGAAGAGAGCCTAGAGAATGGGAGAAAATCTTTACCACACACACCTCAGGTAGAGCACTAATTTCCAGGATATATAAAGAACTCAAAAACTTAACACCAAAAAAAACAAATAACCCAATCAATAAATGTCCCAAGGAACTGAACAGACACTTCTCAGAAGAAATACAATCGATCAACAAACATATGAGAAAATGTTCATCATCTCTAGCAACTAGAGAAATGCAAATCAAAACTACTCTATGATTCCATCTCACTCCAGTCAGAATGGCAATTATCAAGAATACAAGCAATAACAAGTGTTGGCGAGGATGTGGGGAGAAAGGCACACTCATACATTGCTGTTGAGATTGCAAATTGGTGTAACCACTGTGGAAAGCAGTATGAAGATTCATCAGAAAACTTGGAATGGAACCACCATTTGACTCAGCCATCCCATTCCTTGGTCTATACCCAAAGGACTTAAAATCAGGATACTACAGTGACACAGCCACATCAATTTTTATAGCAGCACAATTCACAAGAGCTTAACTATGGAACCAACCTAGATGCCCTTCAACAATGAATTGATAAAGAAAATGTGGTACATATACACAATGAAATATTACTCAGCCTTAAAGAAGAATAAAATTATGGCATTTGCAGAACTAGAGAATATCATGGTAAGTGAAATAAGACAATGAAATAAAACAGCT